CATGTCAGTGAGTAGTGGGTTCTCTGCTGCAGTCCGGATCAGAAAGGCAGGGCGTGCTGGCTCTCTGCTCAGGAAAGCCTTCACTGGGCCCATTCCGTGCCCTTCCCTTTAGAGCTGGGCCCAGAAGGACTTCATGCCTGGTGGAAACAGGAGGGACTGGGGATGAGGGGTATTGAGGTTCTGCTTGGTTCTAGAAGGCGCCATTTGGCAAGGCAGCATTTCACATGCACACACACACACACACATATATACAGTCTGGGAACCCATTTCCAGGCCCGCTTTGTTTAGGGCAAAAGAAGAGAAAGATGACTTTCACTGGCTGGAGGTTTCCTCATTCCCCTCCTCCTGGGGCTGCTTCAAGAAAAGGGGTAGCTGCTCTGCTGCTCTTCTTGGCCCTGGCCAGGGGAAGCCACCTCTCTGAGGCTCACCTGTTCCTTTCTCTGTGGCTGCAGCGCCCTCATGGAGAGCCTGATCAACCCCCTGCAGGAGAGGATAGAGGACTGGAAGAAGACCGCCAACCAGCTCGACAAGGACCACGCGAAAGGTAGAGCTGCCCTGTGGAGCCAGGGGCTCGGGCCACACAGGAAAGGAGGCTGGCAGGGCGCGTGGGCATTTGGGGTGACGGAGAAAGTTGTGGGCTGTGGCTGTTGGTGCTTGTCTTCTGCCCCGGGGAAAACCTGTGGCTGTGGCCTGGGGACCCGCTTGTTGGCCACACAGGGGAGACAGCAGCTGAGGCAGGAGCTTCACAGTGGCCTCTTTCCTGCCTCTTCAGAGTACAAACGAGCCCGTCATGAGATAAAGAAGAAGTCTTCTGACACACTGAAACTTCAGAAGAAAGCACGCAAAGGTGAGGATGTGAGGGTGTTGAAGGAACATTGGGCGGCACTGAGGGAGTGAAGAGAAGCTGTTTGGCATCTCCATAGAAGAGGTGATGTGCAGGGACAGTGGTGGTGCTGGTAGAGCTGAACATACAGTACTTCCCCTCAGGACAGGAAGAGTGCAGCATTAATTGGAACTTGCATCCTTGAGAGATTTCAGCTGCTGCTGCTCTCAAGGCTTGAAAACTAGAAGGCCTGGATGGCAGCTCACATCTAGAATGTCAGAAAGACAGTTGACGATGACACCTAGAAGCCACCTTCCCTCTTCCCGTGTTTATCCTTGGCCTGAGCTTTCCTGGCCAGAGGATTTGAATTTATCGAGACCAGCCGGCAGGAGGGCTGCAAGCCAAGGAGAGGAAGCAGCATCTGAGCACCTCTCCATTGGCTTTCCCTGGACTGGCATGGAAAGGAGCAGATGTTTCCAGAAGTTCTGCATCTACTACTTTCGGGGGGGGGGGGGGGGGGGGGGGGGAGGGAGAGGAGGAAGCTTCCTTTGAAGATTGTTCATGGTAGTTCTTTGGCAGATTCTCCTATTTTTATCTGCCATCCTACAAGGTCCTCTGCTCAGGGGAATCTCATGTTCATTCCAGATGTGATTGAAAAGCTAATCACTGAGAGGGGAAGGGGCAGGTTGCAGTAATGTGGGTGCCTCACTGGGGGAAAGCGTTTATTTTATAAGAGGCAAAGTGGTTTGGGTACCTGCCTTTTTTCACACATTCTTTCTCTCTCCTCTTTTTTTCCCTTCCGACATTCCTCTGTAGAGCTACTTGGTAAGTCAAATGTTGCCAACCCAGCTTCCTCCCTCCCTCCTTCCTGGCCTTTGCTTTGGGATCTCCTCTTTCACCATCCCACCCAGCTGGGCCTGAAATGGAACAAAGCCTCAAATGAGGGGCCACCACCATAGCTGGATCCCTTGAGGTTCACAGACCTGACTGCAGTTCCAACTTGGTTCTCCTTCTTAGGGAAGCCCTTACCTTCCCCATGCTCCAGGGATTACCACAACCCATCTCAGGAAGCCTGATGAAGAAGCCATCATTGTGTTAGGTTAGCTCTGATCTTATATTGTAGAGGGCCACATCGAGAAGGGAGAGCTGGCTTCAAGATCCCCACATCGACAACTTGTATAAATTGCTTCCCAACCTTCTTTTCTGCCCTGCTGGCAAATCTAGTGTGCAGACGCACTTCATTGACCTAAATGCAGCATTATAGGACCCTGTAGGTCAAAGGGACCATCAAGCCAGACACGAGACTGAGCCCAGAAATCCAGACTTCCTGACTGTTAGATCTCTAGCCTGCGAAGAAAAGCCCGCCAGTTCTCTGGGTCATTGGTTCCATAGTCCAGCTTATTTTTCATCGGGAATTTTTAAACTTTATTTACTTTTACATAGGCAGATTAGAACATTTCTGTATTGCCGTAATTCATCGCAACTCAAGGCCACTTACATGATAAACTTTAAATTGAAATCTGCCTCCTTGTTCCTCAAACTTGTTATTCTGGGTCTTTCCCTGTTGATACGAGATAGTACCAGTCTTACTAATATTAAGAAACATATAATAAAGGATCCAGGCTGGGTTTCATTTTGGGCCTGTGCAAAATCCTCACCAGCCCTCCTCCTCCTCCTCCTCCTCCTCCTCCTCCCTGGTCCAGCTCTCCTCTCTTGGGATTTCAGCAGTGGGACCAATGCTGAGATCCACCTTCTGGGATCCCCAAGAGTACCGGTGAAAGCAGAATGGGCCAAGCTGTGGTATGTGCTCAGATCCCCATTTTCAAAAGGGCACCTTTCATCCTTCTGAAAGGGCGAAACAAATTAGCTAACTTCCAGCTATTTACTCAGCCCACCTCTGTGTCGGTTTGAACTTGGCTGACAAAATTATTTCTGTGTGAAATGGCCTGTTTACCTCAGAATTTTTGCTGCCAAGCAGGATCTCAGCCTTGGCTCCCCAAATCCTTGGCTGGTTTCTTGACTCTGCTTGGCTGTTTCCAGACTTCCCTGATTCTTCTCATTGGGGTGGCTCCCCCCCTCGCCTTCCGTGCATGTGGGCTGCTGGCAGTTGTGCTGGGAAGCTTGTTTGAAAGGGAATAGTATCCACCTGCCCCTCTTGCTGTGACCAGGTGGGAGCCCAGCGAATATTGTGCCTGGCTCATGTGCTGTAAGTGGGGAGAAAGACACACACACACAAACACATACTGTGATTCTGTAATAAGAGGCCATGTGGTAGCTGGGCCCCACAGCAATGTATTCCCCCTGACCACAGGGTGCGGTGGAGAGGCTGCCCTAGAGGAACCCAAACAACTCTGCTCTTCTGCATTTTGGGGTGCCACCCTTTTATCTGGCCTCCCTGGGATGAAGTAAGGCCATTCTCTCTCTGGCCTGCTGCTCATTCTCCCATTTAGTCCAGAACCCAAAGGGGTGGGTGGGTGACAGTGCCCACTGCCTGAGGAAGGGGCGAAAGGGATCTCCATCAAGGAGAAGGCCAAACTCCATCTTGGGGGCTCAGAGCGCCAAACTGCTTGGAAAGCTGATGAAGGCGAACAGGCGTTCTGCACTCAAGCAGAATCATTCCAGCCTCAGCCCAAAGGATGGAGTTTGGGACAGGAAAGGCGCCCCTTAAGAGACCCGACTGAACACCTTCGGGTGTTTGGAAGTTGTAAGAGAGCAGCCCTACTCCGATTGTGCCTCGAACACTTTCTGATGTGGAATTACTGCATGTTTTCTGGAAGAGCTTTAAGATGGAGGCCGGCCTCCTCCGAACCTCCTCCTCTTTTGGAAAATACTTGATCACCAGATCATTCTGCCCTGCTTTCGTGGCCTCCTCAGCCCAGTAGTAAAGCTGAGGGGATCATGAGGCATCATCTGGATGTAAAGTAATGCCGAAGGTCTGCCAGCCAGATGGAGGACCTGTTCTGGAGTGCTGAGAAATTAGATGGCAGAGGAGCTACAGTACATGTTCTTGTTTGCTACATGCTCTTGTTGGCACCAAGCAGAAGGTTGACCTGAATGGTCAAGCCTTATTGGAATATATTATTACTGGGCAACATTTTAGTGAGTGTTAGCAGGCACCTGTCAGTAAACGGAGCTTCCTTTTTTTCCTGAAATGGAGTCATAACCCTTTACAACCAGCAGATGCCACATATGGTGTTGCTCTGAGGACTGGGGCAGACCAGATTTCCCATAAGATTTTGTAAGTTGGCATTTTTTGGCAAGACAACGGACAAGCTTTGCAAGATTCATCTAATAAGTATGACCAGCAGTGGGTCAGTGTGTGGGAACAAGTCATTTTCTTAGGGTATTCTTTGAAATAAGCCATCATATTAAGCCATTACGTTTTTTTGGAAGGCCTTAGCATGTCATGGGACTCAGTTATTGTGTTTTCTTTCCCCTGATTTAGATTTATATGAACACAGTAAATTATTTGGGAACTTATATGAATAGTTCTATGTGTGAATAATGGAACATGGGTTGAGTTTATATCTTTAGAAATGCCTGTTTCTTCTCCTATGTGCACTCCATACATTTCATATCCCACTCTGATCTTGCCTCCTGTCTATATGCTGCATTGTTTTTATTATTATTAATAGTAATAGTAATATGCCATTTGACTCCCAATCATTTAATTCTAGAGACCTTCAGCTGCAGAAGTAGGCCTGGCGCAGCTTGTTTGATTTAGTGTGTGGCAGGTTTTGTCCCAGCATGACACCTGCGGGAAGCCAGAGCTACACCCGAGGAGACCCGTGGCCCAGGGTCTGGGTAGAAAAGCCACGAAGCTCTCATCTGCTGTTGTTTATAGGCAAGGGGGACCTGCAGCCTCAGCTGGACAATGCCCTGCAGGATGTGAACGACCTGTATCTCCTCCTGGAGGAGACAGAGAAGCAGGCGGTCCGCAAGGCCCTGGTGGAGGAACGGGGACGGTTCTGCACCTTCATCGCATATCTGCAGCCGGTGGTGGTAGGTCCCTTGTTTCCATGGTCAGACGCAGCTCTTCTAGGGACTGGGCAACTGACAGCGGTCCAAGGGATTCCCCACCCTTTGTTCAGGCAGATCTTGATTTTTAAGCATGTGAACAATTGGCTTTTGTTGCCCAATTATAATGCTGTTATTGGTTCAGTTCTGCTGGTGCCTGCCCTCAGATTAGTCCTGTGTCCTGCTTTCAGGCAAGTAGGGTGGAAGCTCTTGCGCTAAAGAGAACGTATGTCCAGGGCATTCTATTGAGCTACTCCCAGGAATGCCGGAGAGAGTGACATATCTTGCCAAACTTTGTATCCAGAATCTGGATGTGATGAAAAGGAAGGTCCCCTCTCAGGTGCTTGGATACCAGGTGTTACCCCACCCAACCCTGAGGGTCTGGGGTGGGAGTTGAGGTGGAGGAGAAGGAGGCTTTCCTAGACTGGCCCTTGGTTCATCCCAGAGTGGCATCTGTGGAATTAGAGACGAAGTAGGATGTTTATTGAAAATTCCAATTAAGAATTTATCTCAGCTTTTTCTTCAACTCCTTCGTCTGATTTTTTTCAATCCCATGACTATTGGGATAAATATTAATTCTTGTCTGGAAGATGCTCCCTCCTCACCCTTCTTCTCAAGAGGGATTTCCAAGGCAAAGGGGTGCCTGGTGGCAGCAAACTAAACAGACTGTGCCCACAAGGGGAAGGAGGGTTGCATGAGGGAGCTGGGGTAGGTGTGGGTGGGCATCCCTCCTCCCATGCAGTTCCATTCCCCACACAGAAATGCCGGGATGGGCCAGGACAAATTTTAGAAGCCTTAGGTAGACCCCTTACTCAATGCAGTTCAGATGCCCTTTGGGGCACCGAGAGGGGCACTGTGTCTGGCTGTGTGGCGGTAGCAGCAGCCCCCCCCCCCGAGTTCCAGATTAAAAACAAAACGGCCTGTCTCTGTCACCCCCAGGACCTGCTGATGTGGCCCCAGTACTCCATCCTTTTCCCATCATCCTCTGACCTCCTAGAAAGTCCTGCTGGTCAGCCCAGCATTTCCTTTCTCACGGAGTCCAGCCGTCGACAGGACCCAAGAGCAGCCTCCCTTCCACTGTTGTTCTTGCATTGCTGTGAGACCAGCTGCCCTCCCCCCCTCCAGAGATAAGACACAGGCTTTGGTAGACCCCTCCTCCATAAATGTGCCAGTCTCCTCAGAAGTCATCCCAGGGAGATGTCTCGGGGCACAGGCTGTGGGGCTAGCAAGTCAAAGGGTTGGGCTGACCTTTCCCATCCCAGAGAGGAGCAGAGGTGCTTCAGGAGAAAGGAAAGTCTTAGAAATCCAGGATGCTACTGAGGAAGGATGCTGCAAACATACGATCGCTTGCCAAAGAATTCTGAGTAGAGAATTTGGCTTCTGGCTCCTCTCCTCCCAGCTGACGCTTCACTTGGCCCGAGCAGACGAGGCCGGAGAGTTCTATGGCTTTGGTGCTTGGCAACCCACTTACGGTAACTTATCGTAACAATATTGGCACCTGTTGCCAAATTTGGTGTCAACCCCGTTATCATTTTTCATTAAGCTTTTTTGAAGGTTTGAATGTGAGCACAAACATTTAAAGTGTTTGTGGTTCTCCATAAGATCATATACAGTATACACGCTCCCAAATTGCTCTTTTTGTTTACTGTTCTTAATTCTGAATTTTAAAAAGATTTTCTTTGGACTAAAGGGAAGAAAGTTTGCCTGGAATGATTTTTTAAATTCAATTTTAGTAATGTAACTATAATCCCAGCAGGTTTCACATAGATTAGCCTGAGTTACATTTCTGAAATTACACAAAACCTCAACCGGCAGATCCAGCCCTTTGTGGCTTTTGCATAGCCTGTTGAGGACCAACTGAACTGTAGTTACGGAGGTTGGATGCTCAGTGGAGAGAAGGAACAAACAGGAAATGGAGAAGAAGTTCAGAAGTCTACAGATCAGATGAGCGGTTTCAGTCTTGGGGCTGAAGTGTCATGGGAAATATACACGACCTCAATACATACCTACTGTTGCCTCTGCCAAAAAGAGGCTCCCTTCTGCTCATGAGGGTCTCTCCCTCTTGCCATCTCTCTCTGGCATTCTGAAGCTGAAGTGGGCACACTGGGTGACACAGTGAAAGTGGGGCTCACCTTGACCCTTCCTCCTGGCCTTCCCCAAGTAAAAAGCAAGCTCTGGCGTGGGGGGCGCTGGTTCTCTCCTGATTCAAGGGTCTTTTCTCCACATGGCCCAGGGCTCATCCTTTCCTTTATCCCTTGGCAGAATGGAGAGATCACCATGCTGGGAGAGATCACCCACCTTCAGGGCATCATTGATGACCTAGTGGTGCTGACAGCAGATCCACATAAACTGCCAACAGCCAGTGAGCAGGTAGGAAAGCACAAATGCCAGGTGATGTGGTGGACCATATTCCCAGGATGGCCTCGAGCTGAAGGGGGCATTGGAGGCCAGCCCCTCCCTCTTAGCGCAGGGATCCAGGCAGGGTTTGCAGCATCCAGGGAAGAGGTGGGGCCCACCAGTCTAGCTCCCTGCTCCGATTCTACTGCTTTACATCAGAATCTGTGACTTGAAACTCTGCGCTCTTCCATACTCTGCGCTCAGAGAAGAAGTTCTGGTCCGCTTGCACCTCTTCAAGAATTTAAAATACGGCCAGGTGTTTTCTTTTCCCCTCCCCCTCCCCCTCTTTTTTCTCAGAACTAAAGTTCCCATAAGAGGTCCACCCTTGACTGCCTTTTCCTCTGGTTGCTTTTCTGGTTGCCTGGCTTTCTTAAAGTGACCAGGGCACAAAAGCCTGGAGCTGCTCTTTCTTCTGACCTACAATGATTGATGATGATGATGATGATGATGATGATGATGATATCCATTCAGTAGTAACTTTCTGTGGAGGCAACCTTACCTGGTACATGACAAACCATACTCAATGAGTAGTCCTCAATGGTACTACATCCACATGGAGAGAAGTAAGCAGTGGGGTACCACAAGGCTCCGTCTTAGGCCCAGGACTCTGGAATTTCAGTTGCTAAGCAATGTGATCATTAATCAAGTCATCACGTGACTAGACCCAATTTTACAACCATTTTTACTCCAGTTATTAAGTGATTCACCACAGTCATTAAGTGAATCACATAGTCGTTAAGCGAATTGGACTTCCCTCACTGACTTTGCATGCTTGGAAGGTTGCGAATTGTGATCATATGACCGCAGGATGCTGCAGTCGTCATAAATGTGAGCTGATTGCTAAGGGCCCAAATTGTAATCATGTGGCCACAGGGACGGTGTGATGGTGATAACTTCAAATTATGATGGCTTTTTCAGAAGCCATCATAACTTCAAATCATTGTAAAATGGTCGTAAGTTGAGGCCTACCTGTATCACCATTCTGCCTCAGGGGACTTCAATCAGTTCAAAGAAACTCAGAATACTGAGGGTTATTGCTCTCTATATCTTATAGTTTAAGCCATTAGCAAACACAAAAGGCAAGTTAAGACAGGAAAAATAATTCCAAAAGATTGCATTCTGAGCAGCTGGATCCAGGAAGGCTGAGAAGTTCACGGCTGCCATGAAAGTGATCTCCGGCCCAATGGATTCACACAGCCACCTGCTCGAACTGTTTCCTCTGGAGCAGTTGAAGGCGGGCAGGCCTTCCGCTTTGTTGTGGCCAGATCCCTTCTTGGCCCAGCAGAAACTCATCCCTGCAGGCAGCCCGGACCTGGTGGCCCCAGAGCAACTCCAGATGGGGCACCTGTTCCTTGGAGCTAAGCACTGAAGGGAGCCCAACAGGGACCTGGCTCAAACGACTTTCTCTTGCAGGTGATCAAAGATCTGAAGGGCTCTGATTACAGCTGGTCTTACCAAACCCCTCCATCTTCCCCTGGCAGCTCAGGGTCCCGCAAATCCAGCTTGTGCAGGTATGTTTGGGTCAGCTAATGGGAATCTCTTTTCCCCCGTTAAATGGCGTATAGCAGGAACAGACTCCTCCTGGGCTCAGATCTTGCAAAGCTTGAGTAGGTTCAGCAATACCCCAACTATAACCTTGTCTTGATGGCCAGAGTCCTTGTGACGTACCAATTCTTCCCAAACTGAGTTGCCTTGGAATAAAATCAAAGAGAGCCACACCTGGGCAGCTGTGGCCAGCATTGACCTCGAACGGGACATGACAAATGATCTCAAGCAATGGCAGCTCTCTCCTTCAGGTCCAGCAAAGGGTGGAGCTTTTTGTCATTGATGGTGAAGTAATATCTGTCCACTGGAAGTATCTGGGAAAAGTTTTGCTCCAATCTTTAAGAATGTTGCTCTTGATTTCACCCACAAATTCTTGAATGCGCTTCTGCCTTTAGCTGAGGAAAGAATTAAAATACGTTGGAGTATTTGTGTAAACTGGAACATATAAGTCTCCTGTCATAAGATTCAGCGTACTTATTGATCCCAGCTGAAGAGGAAGAGCTGACTTCTTGAAGGCTTCCCTCCCCCAGGGGTACAATGCCAGCATGAGCAGGGCATGTAAAGGAACATTTGGCTTACCTTGCCTCA